AAAAAAAAAAAAATTAACACGTCCTACTGTGTTAGGTGTTGTATGATGTTGTTTTCTCATTGTTTCCTGATGCACAACTGAGATATGGGCGTTATCCACATAAACAGATGTGGAAGCTAAGGATTTATCTAAATTCTAAACAGCAACTATCTTAGTTACCTACTTCTACTGGGTGCCTTTAAAAAACAGAAATGTATTTTCTCACAGTTCTAGGGGCTAAACGTCCAAATCAGGGTCCCAGTCATGTCAGTTTCTCTGGGCCTCTCTCCTAGTTTCTGATACCTTAGCTTGTTGATTACCATCACATGGCAGCTGTCTTCCCTCTCTGTGTGTCTCTGTGTCTATTCTGGCCTTTTTATAACTGAAGGGCCATAGTGTCAGTTCTGACTTAATGGCGACCATCTGTGTGCTGAGTAGAATTGCACTCCGTGAGTTCCAGGCCGTGACCTTTCAGAAGCAGATCTGCCAGACCGTTGTTCTGAGGAGCCCCTGTATGGGTTCAAACCACCAACCTTTTGGGCATTTGTGCCACCAGGGACCCACCCTATTTGACCCCTATCTAACTCCTATTTCCAAACAGGGTTACGTCCACAGATATAACTAAGGGCCAGGAATTGAACACATACTTTGGACGACACAATTCAGTCCGTACCGTAACTAAGCAGTAGAGGGAGCATTTATGTTCATTTTTGCCTTCTTACAAAATCTCTTTCTCCTGTACCTGCTGGCTCCTTAGGGCTGGGAGGTGTGCATTATTAACTGTGTTCTTCAAACTCTTACTCTTTTCTCATGCTGAGAAACTGCAAAAGAAGGAGCATAACAGAGCTCAAGTAAAATTAGAGTATGGGTTTCCTTCAGCATCTGAACTCTCTGTCCAGACATGCTGACTATGGCCTCACCATCATAACTCAGGAAAAGAACAGACAGGTGAACGTCTGGAAAAGAGAAAGGCAATGACCACCAAGAGTCAACATAATCCATTAAGTCCTGGTCGATTGTTGTTGTTTGAGGGGCCATCAAGTTGATTTTCAACTCATAGCAACCCCATGGGATGGAGCAGAACTGCCCCATAGGGTTTCC